TAGATAAGGCAGGCAGGAAGGTAGATGATAAAGAGAGAAAGGAGAGAAAGGAGAGAGATGAGATAGATAGATAGATAGATAGATAGATAGATAGATAGATAGATAGATAAATAAAGGCAGACAGATAGAGGGTAGAGAGAGAGAGAGAGAGAGAGAGAAAATGAGAAAGACAAATAGAGGAGAGAGAGAAGAGACAGACAGAGAAAGATAGATATACAAATAGATGACAAAGAGAAAGAGAGAGTGAGAGACAGAAAGGATAGATGATAGAGAGAATGACAGAGGAGAGAGAAAGAGAGAGACAGAGAAAATGGATGACCCCTCCCCCCACAAATCCATTAAGAGGGGGGAGAAGAGAGGGAAATAAATAAATTTCTTCTTCAATCGCCCAAAATGAAGTTACTTGGTGAGGTAGGAGATGACCAGGCTGAGCCCGAGGGAGGGAGGAGTCAAATGCGTCATCAGTTAACGAGTCCCTTCGTGCCCATAAGGGATTTAAGTCCAGCCCACCGTGAATTCCTTTGGCTCTTATCTACTGCCAATTTGCTTTGACCGTTAGTAGTTCAGATTCTTTTAGAAACCTTCACCTAACTCTGCTGACGCCACGCCTCAACCAAGACCGCTGAGTAAGTGCAACATTTTGTCCGTTTCCTGTCCAATATATGGACTCCTCGCTCCAGCACGGATACATTCAACAGCGCTTGAGAACCAGGTTGGCGCTGACGTGTTGTAACGAGCTTTCAATGTTCCTAAAACGGGTAGTTTTAGCTTCGCCCGCGGCACTACTCGACCTCAACAGAAGCACAGCAGCTTCTACAGAAGCAAATTGAAGGTCGTAATGACTTGGTGTCTTCAGGACTGGAGAAAAATTTGCATTCTAACCAGATGGACCTTCCTCCGTTATCAGTGAAACCAGCAACCTCCTTGCTAGCTTGCAAGAACGTTGTCCTAAGGAACTGAGATCATTGTCTTAGGATCCTAGGAGATCAGCTGACAACGAGGAAAACTATCCAGCGGTGGAAATTTTTGAAATTCAGTATCTTCTCTAATAAAATCTTGGCGAACGAACTTCGGAAGTTTTCTTCTTTTCGGGGGAAGCAAGCGGATATCCGAGGGGTAGATATCAAGCTAAAACTTGACATCCACTCTCAGAAGGACGCTCTCCCCAAGACTCATCTTGAAAAAATCCCACCCCCCCACACACAAATTGGGGGGGGGGGAGAAAAGTAGATCTGGCACCTGACCAGGTTCTCTGCCCAGTTGCTGGGTGGGTGTGGCCAGGATGGGTGTGGCCTAGTTGGCCTCCTGCACCACGGCAGGGGTGAGGGGCGTTTTTGCCCTCCCCAGGCTCCGGAGGCTTTCCTCGAGCCTCCAGGAGGGTGAAAATGGCCTCCCCAGGCTCCGGAGGCCCTCTGGAGGCCGGAAACGGACCCATTTTCGTCCTTCCTGAATTTCCGGTAGGCCTCCCCGAGCCTCCACGCGCGCCCCGCACTTACTTGCATCTAAAACGGGCCGCGTGGGGACTCCTGGGAGGACGGGGTGGGCGGGGCCAGCCAGGAGTGGGATTTGGGGGTTCTCCGAACTGCACAGAATCTTAGCTAGAGGTTCTCCCGAACCTCTGCGACCCCCCCCCAGCAGCCCCCCCCCCCCCCCTGACCTCAGAAAAGGATGCCTGCTTTTTTTAGCCTGACGGGTCTTCTCAAAAGCCATCAGCTCGGGGAGACTAATGGCCTCGCTCGAAGCTGGGATAGCTGCCCTCTGTCTTCTCCTTGCGTAACTTTGCCAGAGTCCTTGGGAGTTGCCAAATTCGGTCACGCCTGCTTAGCTCTCTCGAGTGATGGTGCCAAAAGAGAAAATAAGACACAGATGTATTTCAGCGCTTGGCGATGCCAGACAGAGAGACAGTTAATAGCTTCATTTCGACCCTCCCCTACCAGCTGGGCACAGGTGGGGGGGGGCGATAATGAGGTGCCTTTTCCTAATCAAACTCAATTATTTAACGCTCTCCGTAACGGCAAAGAAGTTCGGCGCTCAGTTCAACGTATTTAAAGGCTCGGCAATGTTTCTCTTTCAACCACCGGCGGGGAGTAGAGTCAAAACGATGGCGGGGATGTTGGGCGCGATCTTTCGAGGGGGCAAAGTCGAGCTGCCTCCTTCAGCTCTGCGGGAGAATGTTCCTGTCAGGTCCCAGATATTTCTACAGGGACCTTGGCATATTGGTGGGAGGAATGGAGTGATCTGTATAGGAAGTTTCTGTTTCCTGCATTACTGTGCTACACTCTATATGAAATTTCTGTTTCCCTGCAATGATGATGTAGGAGGGGTTTGGTTAGCATTGCTTTAAATACTGTATTTTTCGGAGTATAAGACGCACCTTTGCCCCCCCCAAAAAGGGTGAAAATCTGGGTGCGTATTATACTCCTTCCTTCCTTCCTTCCTTCCTTCCTTCCTTCCTTCCTTCCTTCCTCCCTCCCTTCCCTTCCCTTCCCTTCCCTTCCCTTCCCTTCCTTGTCTGGACAGTGAAGTAAAATCAGAGAAAAGGAACAGAAAAGAGACAATTTCACATATAAATTTCCCAGGCTTGTAGGGTAAGTTGTAAGCTTCGTCCCTCGACGAAGGCCTGGGAACCAAATACAGTGCATTGCGCAACCACAATGTTTCTTAAATACTTTTGAGGAGCATCCTTCCATCGGTCTTCCATTATTGTTCCCGCATGACCTTGTGCATAAGAGGAAGAATGTAGCAGCATATTCTTATTATACTCATATTCTTATAGCGGCCAGTTAATTGGATCAATAAATACAAGAAGGAAGAGACTTACATTCGGACAAAAAGGGACTGCTTGGCCACCAAGCCCGGAGATGAATACTTCTCGACCAAGGCCAGAGTACTGAAGCCGAACTTGTGAATGGGTTCGTTGCAATCCAAGGGTGGGAAATCCGTGTCAACTTCCCCGTCGTCTTCGGCAATATGAAGGCAGTAAGCACAGACGTTGTCGCTGCAAGGAACCGGGAGAAAGAGAAGAGTTAAGGAGGCCCACCTAGGAAGAAAGTTAACACGCCACGTTTATGAATCGTGTGTCAAGTTTCGAGGTTGTCTCAAATAAATTGCATTTCAAACAAAGTCTTTGATAAAAACTCCCATTTATTGAGCACGACATTCTAAATCCGACTCATCGTAGCCAACACTGACTTCCAGACCCAAAACCCTCCCTTTCCGTTCCCCACTCCCCTGCACTCATTGGCCATCTTCCAAGTCATTCTACCCCTAATTTACTGCTCCAGCTCAAAGGAATTTCCCCCCTCCCATCCCATCTCTTAGGGGATATTATCTCCAGGGAAAATAAGTAGGTGAAAAGTCAAACGTCCCTTTCCAGACGCCTCCGCTTCTCCTTCTTATGTCAGCAGTAGAGTAAATGCAGCTTGAAGTGCTGACATCGTGATTGTGATGTTCAGTTCGGTAAATTATGGAGTTTCTCTATAAACATTCACCAAATAGATACGGTATTTTAATTAATTAATTATTTTTTTTTGAAACAGCACTTCGAGTATTTGGGAATAGAAAGAGGCTTGTTTGGGTCGCAACATCTCAGAATTTTTAATCCCCTTGTGAATTTGAATTTCCCTTCTCCCTCGTTCAGTTTCGACAAGTCCGAGTTGAAGTTTTCACTGTCTGACTGATGCTGAAATTAATTAATAGTCAAGCGCATGTTAATTGTTTAATTGGCCGCTTGATCTATATGGATCATTTTTGGAAAAGGAGCATTAAAGGAGTTGATTTACAAAGTTTATTGATTGGATGTGACAGTGAATTATTTGGCCGACTCCCTGATTTGCTATTTCCCCCAATTAATTCGCATAACTTGGGTTGGTAACTTACGTTCACCAAGCGTGCCTATTCCAGGTAATTCATCCTTAAGCTGTCATTTATTATATTAGAGGTAGTAACAGGCCCCTCCTAAAGTTACTCTAGCTTGTGCGTCTTGTCAACGGACAGGTTACGGGAAAATACAAGGTCCTGGAATATAACTAATCCTTGACTTACAACCATTCGTTTAGTGACTGTTCCAAGTTACAACTACATTGATGATTTATGACGGGTTTTCACACGACCAAAGGGTCCTTGATGCTCTCCGAGCTTGGTGGTTTTCTTGCAGATATTTCCTCGCAGACCCTATACCATTCTTGCAGATTCTATATACAGTAGCATTTCAGACAGGTGGCTGTCTTTTTAAGAAAAGACCAGACAGTCACCTGTCTGAAATGGTATAGGGTGGATTCTGCCTTATCCTATCACATGTTCCATTTTTAAAAGTGAAAACAGGGTATTGGGGGGGGGGCTGCCCCGTGCCCCGTTTTGGGCCTAGGAGGCCTCCCTGAAGCCTCCTGGGAGTGAAAACAGGGTGCCGGGGGAACTCCTGGAAGGGGCGGAGCCAGTCAGCAATTTTAACTATCAGTTTGCCCGAACCGGCTGAATCCCACCACTGGGTGTGACTCTTGCCAAGGTGTAGTTGCTTTGCCGAGCAGTTTTCCGATCCAAGGAAAAGGCAGGCGGAAATGAAGCCAACAGGAAACATGCAGGCGATAAAGAAAATCTCAGGGCTCAAGTCCTTAAGATTTGAGCAGCTCAGGAAGGAGAAATGCGTCCCTCGCTACATCAGAATTTAGGGAAATGAGAAGCTGTTTCACTCCCACCTGTCACACACACAAAAAAAGGGGCTTCAACCCCCCAGGGAGGTGAAAACGCTACCTATGTAGTGACACCGACATGGAGGTGATTTGTCTTTTTTAAAAACAAACAAACGAGACACCCGGCCCCCCCCTCCCCAAAAGGGAGCGCATCTCGAAATGATGATTCATTTATACGACACCGGGCTTCATAGGCTTGTCATTACACACTACTCGGTAATTTAATTGAAAGAGAAATAGATACAGATGTACGCAGAGCTCGGAAGGAAATATTGATAAATGGCGAAGTGTTGTGGTGAGACTTATCAGGGGTGTGTGTGTGTGTGTATTCTTCCGTTCCATCGTGTCCGATTCTCGGAGACTCTCTGGACAAATCCCTACACTTTTCTTGGCAACGTTTTTCAGAATTGGTATGCTGTTGCTGTCTGTCTATCTGCCTGCCTTCTCTCTCTCTCTCTCTCTCCACCCATCTATGTCTGTCTGTCTGTCTCTCTGTATCCATCTACCTACCTACCTACCTACCTATTATCCATCCATCTTCTCAACAGATTTATCTATCCACCTATCTATCCACTTACCGTATCTATCTATTCATCTATCCATTCATTGTCCATTCATGTCTGTCTATGTCTCCATCCATCCATCCATGCCTGCCTGCCTGCCTGCCTGCCTGCCTGCCTGCCTGCCTGCCTGCCTGCCTGCCTGCCTGCCTCTATCTATCTATCTATCTATCTATCTATCCATCTATCATCCATCTATCTATTATCCATCCATCCATTCAACACATTTATCTATCCACTTATCATATGTATTCATCTATCCATTCATTGTCCATTCATCGTCTATGTCTCCATCCATACATCCACCTACCTACCTATGTCTGTATCCATCCATCCATCCATCCATCCATCCATCCATCCATCCATCATCCATCTATTATCCATCCATCTACTCAACACATTTATCTATCCAACTATCTATCAACTTACCGTATCTATCTATTCATCTATTCATTCATTGTCCATTCATCGTCTATGTCTCTATCCATCCATCTTTTCAACTTATCTTCCTACATACTTACCTCTCAAAATCCATGAGAGAGAGAGAGGGGGGGGGAGTTAAGAGAGAGGGGGGAGAGAGATGGAGAGAGGATGACCCCTTGAAAGCACCTACTTCAACTTGGGTTCCCGTCCTTCGCTCGTGTATTGCCAGCAGATGAGCCCGATCAAATCCTGCACCTTAGCGTTGGCAATCGTCACCACAGTCATGGGCTGCAACTTCTCCTGATTGGCGTGGAGTGGGAGGTAGACATCAATGATTTTTGTTGGGGTTGTGCCAATGTGGCCCTGTTGGAAGAAGAGAGGTCAAGGTAGACTTGAGTGCCTCGCATTTAGGCAAGAGAGATGCTCCTTCCCACGGCAGGCTGGGTCATACATCAAATCAAACCAATCTTTATAATGTTCTTATACCAGCAGAGGGTAACTTAGGCCCAGTCTATGCAGTACTGACAATCCTCTACCTTTTTTTAGAGGTGTGGGGCTCCAATTTCCAAAACGGCCATTTAAGAATGATGGGAGTTGAAGCTAAAACGTCCAGAGGGGACCAAGTTAGGAAGTAGATTATGCATCCTATATCGAAGTTTCCCATCTTTAGTTTGGAAAGTTGCCTTTAAGAAAATGTAGTCTGGACTTTGATATTTCAGTACAATCAGGAAAGATCAGTTCTGGGAGAATGACGTCCCTTTGCCTCAATTTATTTTGTATCCAGGTAGTCCTCGGCTTACGACCACCACTGAGCCCAACGTTTCTGTTGCTAAGCGAGACACTTGTTGAGTGAGTTTTGCCCCACCTTCCTGGCCATGGTTGCTAAGTGAATCTGGCTTCCACATGGCTTGTCAGAAGGTGGCAAAGCGGGATCACGTGACCCTGGGACACTGCACCCGTCGTAAATGTGAGTCAGCTCTCAAAACATCTGAATTTGGATCCCGTGACTGCAGGGACGTTACAGCGGTCGTAATGGTGAGAAGTCACTTTTTTCCCCAGTGCCGTTTAGTGAACAGTCACTAAATGAATCGAAGACTAGCTGTAATTTATACTTTTCTGCTAGCTCTGGAGAAAGGAAGGATATTGCTGAACCTTGCTCAGCATTTGCTGTTCTCCAAAATTTTCCAGATAAGGGACATCGAGTTTCAGGGACTCAAAAGTCCCTTCCAAATCAATGTTTTTATTAAGGGATCAAAACCAGTAAGTTGTTTTACAAGACAGGGCGAAAAACGAAGAAAGAAGTGAAAATTCGTAAGACGTAAAATCCAGCATTGGAAACTTTTTTTTTTTTTTGCAGCTAAATGTTGGCGCACATCGATGCATTTTATCAGCTCTTAATCAATTTTGGCTTTTTTTTTAAAGTGGGCTGCTGGCAAACTTTAGATGTTATTTTGCATTAGTTGTCGGTACTTTTTCTACGAGACTTTCCTAAAAATAATAATAATAATAAAAAAAACAGCGCTACTAACTTTAACTATTCACTCGTACGTTATAGCATTGGGTTTTCTATTTTTTATCCCTCGAGGCTGCGTCGTGGTGGTGAGGTTTTTTTTTTTTTGGTTCCTTGTACCCTTAACGCTAGCCTTAAAAAAAACAACAACACACAAACATTTGAAACAAAGGAACAAGCTGGCAAATAAAAAGAATACGAGCTGCTTTTTATCTGCTCCGTTGAACATTTGCTGCCCTGGGCCGGAGTTGCAGGCGTGCAGGCATTTCCAACTAAGCGTTGGAAATCAGTTCCTAAGCGTTAGAGGGGTATCCCGAGAAAATTCTCTAAGCAGCCTCTTGATTCCCATACTCTGCTTTGAAAATGAGACTTGCTTTTCATTCTGGGAGTGAATCAAGGCGACACGGGGACAAACGTTATTTCCGACGGTGGGAAAGAAATCTTAAACATGAGAAATAAATCCAGAATAAAGGAAGTGTCAGGTTTCGATGTCATCTCAAATAAAATAAATTCCAAACAGATAGTCTTTGAAGAAATCTTTCATTTTATTAAGCACGACAATCTGTCCCCGATCGTGGCGTAGCCAACTCTGACTTCCTGACCCCAAACCTTCCCTTTCCGTTCCCCAATTCTCTGCGTCTCATTGGCCTTCTTCCAAATCACTCTCCCCATGTCTACTACTTAAGCTCCCAGGAATGTCCCCCCTCCCATCTCGTCTCCTAGGGGATATTATCTTCAAGGAAAATAAGTAGGTGAAATGTCAAGCGTCCTCTTGCCAGCTGCCCCCTCTTCTCCTTCTTATGTCAGCACTAGAGTAAATGCAGGTTGAAGTGCTGACAGGAAGTTCTAGGTGCTTCATCACTGGAGGTTTTTAAGAAGAGCCTGGATAGACACTTGTCTGGAATGGTAGAGGGACTCTTGCTTGAGCAGGGGCCTGGATTAGGCCTATGACTCTATGTTCCATTTTAGTTTAGTCTACTGTAGGGACGCAGTGGCTCACTAGCTAAAACGCTGAGCGTATCGACTGGCAGTTCAGCGGTTCGAATCCCTAGCGCCGTGTTAACGGGGTGAGTTCCCGTGACTTGTCCCAGCTTCTGCCAACCTAGCAGTTCGAAAGCACATAAAAAAAAAATGCAAGTAGAAAAATAGGGACCCCCTTTGGTGGGAAGGGAACAGGGTTCCGTGCGCCTTTGGCATTGAGTCACGCCGGCCACATGACCATGGAGAACGTCTTCAGACAGCGCCGGCTCTTCGGCTTTGAAACAGAGATGAGCACCACCCCCTAGAGTCAGGAACAACTAGCACATATGTGCGAGGGGAACCTTTATCTTTAATGAAGACAAGGACCAGGGGTGACATGATAGCAGTCTTCCAATAATTGAGGGGCTGTCACAGAGAAGAAGGGGTCCACCTATTTTCTAAAGCACCTGAAGGCAGGACAAGAAGCAACGGATGGAAACTAATCAAGGAGAGAACCAACCTAAGAACTAAGGAGGAATTTCCTGACAGTGAGGACAATTAACCAGTGGAGCAGCTTGCCACCAGAAGCTGTGAGGGCTCCATCACTGGAGGCTTTTAAGAAGAGATTGGACAGCCATTTGTCTGAAATGGTATTGGGTGTCTTGCCTGAGCAAAGGGTTGGACTAGAAGACCTCCAAGGTCCCTTCCCACTTGGTTACTCTGCAGTTCTGCTGCTTAGAAGGGAGCCTGCATGAGTTTAATCTCCCACCACCCGGCCGCAGTCTCTTCCTTGTTAAGCCTTCTTCTCTTACAAGTCCTAGGAAGCTACCCTGTCTTCTGTCTGGGGAGCCTGGGGAATAGAGTCAGAGAGAAGGCTGGATTTATGAGTCTTATTTATATCATTCTAATGTTGGGAGGCTGAAGTAAAAAAAAATTGGGCCTTCGCTGCTTTATCATCATTAATCTTTTCCCGGGGAAGATGACGAGGATGGGGAGCGAAGGCTGCCTGAATTGCTGATGTGCATAAACCAAATGGATCGCAGGGGCGAAACCATTTGCATTTACTTTTTTTTTTTAAAACACGCACACATGCTTCTCGTAGAGAGTGGAACACAGGCTGGGGCACAAGGGGGTCTGCGAGGATGTATAGAGAGTTGTGTCTTGCAAAGGGGAGCCTTCCCGAAGTCAAAAGAGGACAGCAGAGCCCCCACTGCATCAAAATTGCACTGAACAGAATAAAAGAATTGGGAGGACTTCTGAGGTCATCTAGTCCAACCCCCTACTGCTCAAGAAGGAAACCCTGATGGGAGATTAAACTCATACAGGCTCCTTTCTAAGCAGCAGAATTACAGCCCTTTGCTCAGGCAGGACACCCTATACCAGTGATGGCTAACCTTTTAGCCATTGTGTGCCAGGAAAAGGGGGGGGGGAGGTTCGCGCGTGCGTGGCCACACCCATAATTCTATGTGCCCCACCCATGTGCGTGCGAAGCTCCTGGCATGTGATGGCCCGGTAGGCCCGTTTTTCTTTCTCACCTGGCTCCAAATCCTCTCTATGCATCTGGGGAGGGCGAAAACAGCCTTCCCCACCCCCTCGGAGGCCTGAAACGGCCCATTTCCCAACTTTCGGTTGGATAGGAAGTGACATTTTTTGCTGTCCCCAGCCTCCAGAGACTCCTAGAGAGGCTTTCAGGCCTCCGAAGGGCCTCCGAGGGGGTGGGGAAGGCTGTTTTCACCCTCCCCAGATGCATAGAGAGGATCTGGAGCCAGGTGAGAGAGAAAAACGGGCCTTCCCCATCCCCCCAGGCCCTCCTGAGGCAGGAAACAGCCTGTTTCCTTACTTCTGGTGGGCCCAGAAGGTCCGAAAATCAGCTGGCTGGCGCATGCATGCGCGCCGGAGATGAGCTTGCGTGCCAGGCGACATGGCTCCACGTGCCACCTCTGGCACGCGTGCCATAGGTTCGCCATCACGGCCCTATACCATTTCAGACAAGTGGCTGCCCAGTCTCTTCTGAAAAAAAACTCCAGTCATGGAGCACCCACAACTTCTGGAGGCACGCCATTTCACTGGTTAATTCTCCTCACTGTCAGGAAATTTCTCCTTAGTACTAGGTTGCTTCTCTCCTTGATGAGTTTCCACCCGTTGCTTCTGCTCCTGCCTTCCGGTGCTTTGGAGAACAAGTTGACCCCTTCTTCTTTGTGGAAGCCCCTTAAATATTGGACGGCTGCTATCATGTCACCCCTGGTCCTTCTTTTCATCAAACTAGACAATACCCAATTCCGGCAACCGTTCTTCGTTATGTTTTAGCTTCCGGTCCCCTAATCATCTTTGTTGCTCTTCTCAGCACTCTTTTCTAGAGTTTCCAAATCTTTTTTTTTTAATATCGTGGCAACTAAAACCGGATGCCATCTTCCAAGCGTGGTCTTATTTGATGCCAGTTCGATGATCAACCCCAAAGATTATTTATGCGATTCAATCCTTTTTGGAAGAGACGGATGGCCAAAATAGCAGATAAGAAAGTTGCCACATTCCTCCCTCTGTCATCTTTTCATCTCAATTGCGTCCAGGCCGAGAAACCGAAGCTGCAGCAAATCAACCCGATCTTAAAACATGCTTTTTTAATTGTTGTTGTTAATAAAACCTGATTTTTGAAATCGCCGTGAGGCCACGCTCCAAAAAGCAGGCAAAGGCGGGACAAAGAGACAGTAGCTAAATCCACTTTCCGTTTAATTTAATCGAAAGTTTAATGAACATTAAAATGAATTAATCAAGGTGCTGCAGGACAAATGCGCCCTGTGCGTTTAATAATTTTCTTTTGCCGGGATATTAAAAATGACAGTTCAGAGATAACCTCTGAATGGGGTCCAAAGATATTCGAGAGTTGTCTGGGAAA